AACCAACTGAGCCACCCAGGCGCCCCTACTCATATTTTTCTTATAGTCTACTTATTTATTGATTTTACCTTTTTCTTAAAAGATTTTATTTATTTATTTGAGAGAGAGCGCACGCGAGCCAGGGGGAGGGGCAAAGGGAGAAGTAGAAGCAGGGAGCTAGACTTGGGGTTTGGTCCCAGGACTCTGGGATCATGACTTGAGCCAAAGGCAGATGCTTAACCGAATGAGCCACCCAGGCACTCCAACTTTTTTTTTTTTTTTTTTACATTTAAGTGTTTGGTCCATTTGTGGTGAGGTAGGAATCCAGGTTTTTGTTTTGTTTTGTTTTTCAAATGGCCTACTAATTATATCATCTCCATTGATTGACTAACCCAAAGGACTTACTTCTCTGATGGGTTCCCATCATTCCCACTGGTATTCAGACTAAAGACAACACTGGTGTCAGGGAAGCTCATAAGAAAGGCTGTATTTATTTCTGAAAGAAATCAGAAAATCCTGAGGACAGTCCCAGGTCCACCCCTGACTCGCAGGATGGCCTTGGACAGGTCCTTTTCTCACTGGGCACCTCACTCTGAGTTTAAAGCTCTATGCTGGGGTGGGGGTGGGGGGCAAAGAGAGAGAGTGCAAAGTGATCTCTGGCACTGATAATTATCCATCCAAAAGAGTCCTAAAGAATTCTTGCCTTAAAAAGAAATGTAAATTAAAATAACACCAAGAAACCTTTTTTTCCTTTTTTTTTTTTTTTTTAACATCTATCAGACAGGCAAATACTGAAAAGATTGATGTACTTACTCATTGTTGGCAAAGATGTAGGAAAATAAACTCTCCTAAGCTGGCTGCTAATGGGAGTGTAAATGGATTCCGCTTTTGGGAGGGCAATTTGGCCACATTTATCAAATGTAAAATGCACATATTCTTGAACCCAGCTATTCCACTTGGAGGAATTCTGAAAAGTAGAGAATGAGATGAAGATATTCACTGAAATGTTCATTATTGAAAAAAAAAACTGAAAACAACCCAAATGTCTATCAATCAAAAGTTGGATAAATGATAATATACTGTAGTAGTTAGGGGTGGTAAAAAGAAAACTGCACACCCAAAATAGAGTCAGTTATGCTAGGCCATGTCACCAAACTGGGGCTTAGTAGCTAACCTCACTGCAGTCTTGACCTCCCTCAGAGATAGTCTTAACTGGTCAGTCAGGAATCGTATGGTCAGCACCAGTAAGGTAATCTGTCACATGGGCCCTCTCCATCCCCCAAAGGAAGATGAGGTAATCCACCTAATAAGACCCTTTTGTCCCCAAAGGAAGGTGACCTCACCCAAAATAATCCTTTCTTCTGTTTATGATTTCCTTGCCCTGCCTTTAATAACCTTTCCCTTTCTGTAGCCCTTTGGAGCTCCCCTCTACTTGCTAGATGGGAGGCTGCCCGATTCATGAACTGATTCATAAAGCTAATTCAATCTTTAAAATTTACTTGGTTGAACTTTTGTTCTTTAACAGGGGTTTGAATTCTGGCTTCCCCACTTGCTAGTTGTGTGACATTGTGCAAATGACTTAACCTCTCTGTATCTGAGTTTTCTCATTAGTAAAAATGGAGTGACAATAGAGTCTACCTCATAGTCTTGTGAGGGTTAAATGAGCTAATACTATAAAGTACTTACAACAGTGTCTGGCACATAGTGAGCACCCCCAAAATATGAGCTATTATAACCATAATATATGTTTGGGTGAAAATTTTGAAAATTTATGGAGTGTTGTTTCAGTGATATGTTGAGTGCTATCTTTGGGGGTTACCTGATTCTACAGGGGTCTGAGTCTTTCATTGTCTTTGACCAGACTATTTCACAACCCTGTAAGTTACAGAAAAGTGATGGTAATACAAATTATTCTTGCCCACAGAAACGCAAATTGATCTTGTCCTATAAATGTACAATTTAAGAGATAATTCCAAACACCACTTTATTGCCCTAAAGATAATAACCAACTTTGCATCTATTAGCAAATTTATATATAGATCTAGATCTAGATCTATCTGATTCTCCTTTGAATGGTTTTAGCTTATGACTGTTTCTTTCATTAATTATTGAGTTACATACAATCTTTGACAAGTGCTCCTTTTATATTTGTATGAGTCACAATACTGCCTTTTAAAAATTTGTAACAGTATTTCTAGTTTGATCCTCTCCTCATTATGAAGATACATGTCTTTATACTTTTAGAGAAAGCCTAGAAGGATGAAAACAAAAAATGTTTATGAAGAATATTTCAGGGAGGGGTCACCTGGCTGGCTCAGGAGGCGGAGCGTACAACTCTTGATCTCGGGGTTGTGAGTTTGAGCCCCACATTGGATGTACAGGTTACTTAAAAATAAAATCTTGAAAAAAAAAATGTCTCGGGCAGGGGTAGGTAAATAATATTTCAGTTGACTCTGAGTCTCTTCTTTATACATTTCTATACTGTCCAAACATTTTCATGCAGAACATCTGTTTTATGGCATGTTAAAAAAAAAATATTCTCCTTTTTAAAAGACAAAACAGAAAATTCTCCTGCTGGAACCAGTCATCTGGGATGGGAGGAGAGTAATAAGAGGTCAAGTGTGAACAGCTTCCTCACTCTGTAGGGCTTTGTGGTTGGTTATTTAGGTAAGGAAACCCCTTGGCAAGCGGGGAGGCCAGCTTAGTCTCCAGCAGACCTGTTTTTCCTGAGATAGGGCACTCAGGCCCAAAACAACCTGAAGTGGCAAAGTCTCAAAGTGTTCTCCATGGCCAGCCTGGGGGTGGTCAAGTATGAGGCTTGGACCTCACTGCTGGCTCTTTCAGCCTCTTTGATCTTGAGCTGATCAATTAATTCAGCCTCAAGCCACAGCCAACAGAAAATCGGCCCTGGAAGAGACTCTGGTCCCTTCTTACTACTGATGGGAAAACAAGCCTGGGGAGGGGAGGGAAACAGCAGAGGTCACAGAGCAAATTACGGATCATTCTAGCACTAGAATCCCAGAATCCAAAGTCCTGGCCCAATGAGCTTCTACCTCACCAGATTGGACTGACGGTGAAGGGCCTCCAATGCCAAGTCAAGAAGACTCGCCCATGAAAAGTGGGCATGTTGAACAGAACAAGCCAGCTCCAAGATCAAGCAAGGGCTGGGCTTTAGGAAGAGTCTTCATTCAGAACCCGGGCATTAGCATACCCCTCCCCATCTGGGGGCTGGGCCAGGCAAGGGAGGCTACTCTTGTGACCTAAGACTTTACAGACCTTTAATAAATTGTCATTGCAAAGCTGCCTGCCATTTTAATTGCACTTGAGGGGTGCAATTTTTTTGTTTGAGGAAAAACAGTGTTAGGAGACTTTTGTTATATGAAGAGAGATGGAGATCCCCCTTGAAATGGAGCCCTTTAGGATAATAAGGCAGCATAAAGGAAGGGCTGAGCTCCTGGTAGGTCTGGAGTACTGTGATGTCAACTGGCTTTTCTTGGGGCTGGAGCTGGACTGGGGCGAGGGGCATCTCCTCATGGTCCCTGCCAGGAACTGGGGAGAGAGGCGCCATCCCCCTCCCCCGGGACCCAGGAGGCCAGGCCAGGCAGTGGATTCTGGCATCCAGTCTTAAGTTCCTCATTATTATGTGCAGTGTTCCTCAGCCTTGAGGCCCCAAATTGCACAATTTTGCCATTTCAATGAACTACCTACACTACTGTTTACTTAATATTTTTCTGTAAGTCTATTCACTTTTTTAAAAAAAAGATTTTATTTATTTATTTGACAGAGACACAGTGAGAGAGGGAACGCAAGCAGGGGAGTGGGAGAGGGAGAAGCAGGCTTCCCACTGAGTAGGGAGCCCATGTGGGGCTCGATCCCAGGACTCTGGGATCATGACCTGAGCCGAAGGCAGGCGCTTAATGACTGAGCCACCCAGGCGCCCCAGTCTATTCACTTTTAATAACAAGGACATTTATATGGCAACGTAGATGGGAAATCAACATCATTTCCATAAAAATAAATACAAGGAAAACAGAACAGTGTGATTAAATTTTAGCTAGATACTGTCGCCTGCTTTCTCTTCATTAAAAAGGGAGTTTGGCACATGTTAGAGAAGTTTTACAAGGAAATCAGATATTATGAGAGGCTTTCCTGAATTTAATCAGAAGGAATGGAAGATAATGGAAAATAGAGTAACTGCCTTACAATGTGGTTATTACTTTTTTTCAAAGATTTACTTATTTATTTGAGAGAGAGAGAGAAAGAGAGAGACAGAGCACGGCGGAGAGGGGCAGAGAGAGAGGGAGAGAGAATCTCCTGCAGAGTCCCCCCTGAGCACAGAGCTCAATGTGGGGCTCAATGCCACCACCCTGAGATCATGTGTGGTTCAATTCCTTAATGCCTTTGTGTAAAACAGCTTCAGTGAGGTGTGGTTCCTCCACTATACTAGCCATACTTTAGAAAATGCTGTGGACAGGACCCTGCTCTCCCACCAACTAGCTGAGTGACCTTGGGAAAGCTCCTCTACCTCTCTGAACCCCCAATTCCTCACCTGCAAAAGGGCTATGTAGGCAGAAATGAATCCAGAGGCTTCTCTGAGAGATAATAATGGTGATAATGATGAGGATGATAATGATGCTATCAGGGAGGCATTGGTAGAATTCCTTAAGCTAGTGTTCGGTGTGCTTTGGGGAAATGAATTACTAGTCTGGGTCTTTGCTTAAGCAAAGAAAAGCAGAGAGAAGAGTGCAGGCAGAGCAGCAGAAAAGCCACTGGGTCCGCAGAAATGAGCTACCCACCAGGATGGGTTTGTGCAAAATGGAAGTGCTCCCTGGATTCTCAGAAATGTCAAGGAAGTGAAACTGAATAAGGATATTGGACTTCTGGTGGTCATGGGGGATGGATGTTCAGACAGTACTGGTTGAGTACTAAAGCGAAGGATAACTGCTAAATGCCAAACAATGAGGAGCTGAGTATTATGATTACTGTCCTCCACTTTACATACAAGGAAAATGAGACTCTATAATACTAGGCGGCTGCCAGAAAATTCACAGCAGACCTACGCCCCATGCCTTCATTCTTTTCAGTATTTCAACAAATGTTCTCAACATGCTTAAGCCCTGGGTCAGGGCAGCGCTGGGATACACACATTAAAAAATAAGAAGAAGATGAGGATTTGTAAAACAAAGTGGACAACATGATCTTATTTATGTAAAAGAAAAAACAGTGAAGCTATATCTTCATGTATGTGCACCCACATATACAAAGGCTTAGAAACAGATCTGTAGGGACACCTGGGTGGCTCAGTTGATTGAACATCTGCCTTTGGCTTGGGTCATGATCTGGGGGTCCTGGGATCAGGTCTGGGGATCGAGTTCCGCATTGGGCTCCTTGCTCAATGGGAAGTCTGCTTCTCCCTCTGCCTGTCTCTCTCTGTCTCTGACAAATAAATAAAATCTTTGGGAAAAAAAAAAGAAATAGATCTGGTAGCAGTGGGCACTGGGTGGAGTCAGGTAGGGAAACAGGGACTTTAGCTTTACCTGTATTGTTTGAGATAGTAGTAGTAGTAATAATAATAATAATAATAATACATTTCTATATTATTTGGGTTATTGAAATTTTTTTTAAATGACAGTATGAGCTGAATTGTGTCCCAGCCTCAATTCATATGTTGAAAGTCCTAACCTCGGCACCTCAGAACGTGGCTGTATTTGGAGATAAGGTGTTTAAGAGGTAATTAAGCTAAAATGAGGTCATGGGGAAGGGCTCTAATCCAACATGACTAGTGTCCTTACAGGCAGAGGAAATCTGGGACACAGAGACACACACAGGGAAGAACATGTGAAGACACAGGCAGAAGTTGGCCATCTACAAGCCAAGGAGAGAGGACTCAGAAGAAACCAACCCCCTGACACCTTGATCTTGGACTTCCACCCCCCAGAATTGTGAGAAAATAAATTTCTGTTGTTT